CCATAGCGGTAATCGCCCCACCTATAGTTATAGTACCCAAATTCTATCTTGAACTTCCTATTTTTCAAACAAAAATACAATGTTTTTTTATTTGAAAATAAAAAAAGAAAAATAGGAGAAAAAAAAGTAGTGTCTATGATGCTATGTCAATAAGACATCACAATAGAAATTACACTCTACAACCCATGATTTCTTAAAGTGGGCCATTAATAAATACATTATCTCTCTTCTCTACCAATCATATTTATTCTTCATCTATTATGAAGACACTATTCTCTCCCAATGCAAAACTTGATAGCGTCTAGTGCATAGATTCTCGTGTTGAAGCTGCGTCTTGCATGAGACCCAGTTTCTTCATCTCTTCACTCTCTCTCTTAATTAATATAGTGCCACATAAGCTAAAAGTTCTACATGGCAATATAGTTAATGCCATAGACACCATCCTAGGTGGAGGGTTGGGACTGCCCTTATTGACATGACACTATAGACACTACTTATGGGCACTATGGGTTGGGACTGCCCTAAGGTGCTTACCAAGGTCCAACAAGGTTGGTCGCAGTCTGAACAATAGCAAGGGCATCCGGAACGGCTTGGCGACATTGTGGACACCGAGCGAATGGCGACGGCGTGCTTCGGCAAACGATCTGGAAAGCCAACATATCTAGGTGATCAGTGAATTCCTGGGGATTCTATGGTTGCGTGGAATCGAGATGCAACTCACCGGAGAGCGGGGGATCGACGTTGGAAGCCAGTGGCCGGAGTTGGAGAAGAAAACCCCGATCTCCTCATCGCTGCATCCCCAACCAAGGAAGATAGGGGCGTTGTAGAGGGCGGTTTTCAGGATGGTGATGGCGCAAGGGTTCAGCCGGATCTGCACTGAGGCGACCGGAACACAGGGTCGACGTCGGCGGTAGCGTCTGAAGCGCGCCCGCAAGCTCCTTAGGTGTGGTCAGGGTTCACTCTTATCGTTTGAGGACTTTGTATTGGGGTCACCGAAATCCCGAAATTTCCGAAATTTTGAGCAAAATTTAGTTGAATTTGAACAAATATTATCCAAATTCATGAAAATATTGAAAAATTTAAAAATTTCGGCCGCCGAAGTAATATCGTATCGGAGGTGACCGAAATGACCAAAATTTCAAAAATTTCGGAAATTTCGGTCCGAAATTTCCAACCCTGGGTTTGGTCACGTTCCCGTTGATCCACTATTCAAAATGGATTAGGACCAAAATAAAAGTTGTCAGGCATGGCACGTAAAAGACAAAATGGAAAGAGATCGAGAAGAAGCTATTCAGTGGAGGATTGTACCATCGTCTCCTTCGCGGCCGCCGACAGATCGGAAGGAGGAGACCTTGGAAGCTTTCTGTCTTGGTTTCAACTGCTGAGACATGAACGTGGAAGACGAGAAATGGTTCAGGGAGCTTAGGGGATGTAGGCAAGTTCTCCATAGAGGCGTCGGTGGGGGTGAAGTGGAGGCCGGGCTGGAGCTTTGCCGACGTGGCATGAAGGAGCTTCCACGACGTCTTCCGCGTCAATGACCAGGTCAATATGACCAAAAGGCGCAAGGTCATTTCGGTCACTCCGCATAAAAAATGGGGCCCCCTAGTGCCTTGTTAGCACGGTTACATTATTTTAATTGACGTGGTGTCCGCTGGCAAATTATCATGATTATAAAATGTCTTCCCCAAAAGTGAGTTCATGAGGTTGGATGCACAGGAGGAATGGAGAAAGAGGAAAAGCAAGTGATTGGTGCCATGTAACTTATGATCTATTTGAAATTATCTGGTAGTTTGGATTTCAATGTCTTTTAGAGAAAAAAGGAAGCTAGATGGAATAGACGCATATAGTCATAAATGCGGCCCACTCAAATAATTATAAATACGCACGCACATAGATCATAAATGTGGTTTCTAAGGCCTACTCAAATAGACAGAGGCCAATAACAAATCCTCGATCTTAATAAATACCTACTAAAAATGTATCTGCATATGCGCAATATTTGTGGTCACTGATGTTTAAACCTTGTTAGATGAAATCATCCCATAACTTCAACACCACATCACTTGCGCTTTAAAGCAAATTTAATCAATCTGTCATATATATACTCCTTTTCTTGCCTAGAGCTCCCCCTCCCCCCCCAACAAAAAAAAAGGCCAAAAAAGTGGCATGGGAGAGTTTTAACACATTCAAGGGAGGGCAATATTGTGGAGTAGCCAGTGGTGGACACACCCATTAGGCAGGGTGATTCGACCGGCCCAACTATAGCCTGTGTCGCCCCACACCTCTAACCCTCATTTCTAATATTGTTTCTAGCACATTAGTCATTAGTTCACTATCAAATAATCATATAAATTAAGTATTTTAAGTAAGGATAAAAACATTTATGAAAATTCGTGACCAAATGAGTATTATTTCTGTATAAGTAGTAACATTTTGGCCATACATAAAATTTGATTTTTTTTCTATTTCTTCATCACATATTATAGTCTACAGTAAATAGTTAAATTGGTAAATATATATAAAAAATCCACTTTACTCCCATGAACTATTTTGACGAAGCACTTAACCGGTTAACCCCCCAAATGCTTTTTCATCTCGTTTTATACCCCCGAACTATTAAAAGTGGTTCCCCTTAGTGCCTCAATATTTCTCTTTTGTTTTTATATCTCTCTACGTATAAGTCATATATATAAGTTGTATTTGAACATAAATTTGGTAGGACTCATATATCCATTATAACAGTGTAACCTACCTCTTAACATTTTGTTAATAATTTTATATCACTATTATATATGTTTCGATGTACTTATTTTGAAAATATTTTGATACTTTGATAACGGTGTAATTTATGGCTTAAAAAATTTCTGCTTAAAATACGCATCGTATAAAGAGAAACAACAAAGGGAAATACTATTAAGAAGCAAAACAAACTATTTTCAATAGTTTAGGGGTATAATGAGCAAAAAAATATATTTTATGGGTTTATTGATACAATGGAACAATCCACAAGTGTGAAATGGCATTTTTAAATATGAATATTTCCAAAGGCCTATAATTTTTTTTAAAAAAAATAAATGATTTTGTGTTCATTCATTTTCATCCCTAATTCCTGGCATGAGGCACCCATCGTCTCTCATCTTCGTGACTACGTCTACTGCCCTGTCTATCTGACTCTGATGTTTGTTCAACTGCTAATTTTCGTTGTTAACCAATGTTTGTGTGGTGTGCTAGCGCACCGGTGCTGTGAGCCGACGACTATGATTTATATGCGTTGTGCCATTATCAAATTAGTAATAGCTCTTTGCAAGATAATGCTGCGTTCGCCGATGCTAATCAAATTAACACGCCCTAATGTTGATCGCCGTGGCAACCAAGTCATGAGGTAACGTAGATACCCCCTTCACATCAACTTGCACGTGCATATCTACACGGCTGCACCCAGTCAGCAACTCAGCCACGAAGAAAACAAAAAGGAGACAAGAAGAATTTTCTTAGCCATTAAGTTGCTATCATCAACTTAATGCATCATCCTAACAAGAATAACTTTCTCATGACAGTGAGCGAGTTAACATGACTTGGCTCATTAATAAGCTGGTGATGATGATACGCAAGCAAGCAGGCATCATCCTGGAAATTTAATGCATCCAAAAATCCAGGTCCTAACGCAAACACCATTGAAGTACACATTTTTAATTTAAGTTGTAGCGTAGTACCAATTGTAATATTATATCCATCCTAGAAGCATCCGAACACAATAAGAAACAAACAAATTAAGAGTTGTCACGCGCTAGGATTTTGAGCGGCCAAGTTAGAGCCGTCACTTAGTGAGTAACCTTGGCCTAATCAACTTTCTCGACACCTAATTAATTCAAAGAGCCATCATCTTTTGTTAGGCTGCTTGCGTAATCGAGCTAGTCAGCCCAGGAAATGTTACTGAGTTACTCTAACAAATGTAATACCCCAACAATTTTACTCTTTCTATTCTCAAATAATTAATTACTCTCCCCTTTTTAATGGATAATGTCACGTTTTACTATTCTCCCTATTTAAAAAAATTATTTAAATACCATTTATTTCGTTGTGATATATTTTAGTATTATAGAAACTTTAAGTATGACTTATACTTTAACATATTTATACTATTTTTTAATAAAACAAATGGTCAAACATTATTTTAAAAGTCAACGGCGTCATCTATTTAAAAAAGAAGATACGATTATCATTTTACTCTTACAAAGGTAACTTCTAATAGTTAGATTGTGATGAAATTACAATTATATGATCATATTTCAGATGCAACACACGTCGATAATATAATATTTTTTTTAATTATATGGTAGACGCATACGCACACACCTCTACGCATGCAACACCACTCTCACTCTGTAAATGCGCCCCCTAACGCATGTTGTAAGAGACGGAAACCGGTGATAAATTCCCAATCTCACTAAAATTTCTGTTCAAAGCGTGTTTTGAGTATATGTAAACTTATTGCCTAAAGAGAAATGGTTAAAGTGTGGATAGTATTCACTAACACATTTGTATAAAAAATGGAGACAGACAAATCTTTGCGAACTCTGCATGTACATTTTTACTTTATTTGATGAATATATGAATACCTTTGCCTTTACAATCCTTGGTTTTTCAATATTTATCCCTTTGAATTCATTTTGTAAGCCTAATTTCCTGCACAATTTATTACAGCAGTCTCCCAGTCTCCTCTGTCAAGCCACCGCCATACTAAACCAAAACGTCCAAGCCAAACCAAAAATAGTGAAAATACACACATGCATAGTAGTAAAAAAGTGGATTAACAACGGACCAATTTGCAGGGGAACAAACCGGCGTACGAAGCTACGAGCATGGCAAGCTGGCAATCTGGCAGGCCCGGTCAAAGTTTGACTATTTTGCCCACAACTCAGACGCGCCGAAATGAGCCATCGATTTCTTCGTTATAATTTAATCTTACTTTTCAACTTAAAAAAACATAGCTAATTACGTGCACTTATAAATATCTCTCTTCCGATCCTCGCAACCATTGCATTATCCAGCAGCAAAAAGATTCCCCTCTTTTTGTGCAAGCGAGACCAACAAAGTGATCGAAGGCGCAAACGCAAGGCAAAGCAGAGAGAGGCGCGCGATGGCGGCGCCGTGGTGGTGGTGGTGGCCGCTGCCGGCGTGGCTGATGCCGGGGTCGACGGCGGCGTGGTTCGTCGTCCTCAACGTGGTGGTGTGCGCCGTCGCCGTGCTGTCGTCGCGCGCGCGGGAGTCGCTCTCGCCGCGCCGCGGCGGCGGCGGACTCGCGCGCAGGGCGTCGTCGGCGCTGGAGCGCGTCCGCTCGTCGTTCTCCATCTTCTCCTTCCCGTCGGCGAGCTTCTACGCGTTCCACCCCGACGCCGCCGAGCCACGGACGCCGACGCCGCGCAAGCGTTCGCCGGTGGCCGCGCCGCCCGCCGCCTCGGAGCCGCAGACGCCGACTCCGCCGCCGCGTCCGTCCGTGGCCGCGCCCGACACGCCACCCGCGCAGCGGCCGGAGACGGAGGAGGAGGAGGAGGAGGACGCGAACTACATGAGCATGGATGAGGCGTACGCGCTGGTGATGGCGGCGCGGCAGCGGCCGCCGCCGACGGAGGAGGAGGTGAGGAGGTCGGAGGTGGACGCCAAGGCGGAGGAGCTCGTCGCCGAGTTCCAGGACGACGAGCAGAGGCGGCAGCGTCTCGACTCCATCTTCAACTACACGCAGATGCTCAAGCGGCCATCGCCGACGGAGGAGGGGGCGAGGAGGTCGGAGGTGGACGCGGAGGCGGAGGAGCTCGTCGCCGAGCTCCCGGACGAGCAGAGGCGGCGCCGCCTCGACTCCATCTTCAACTACACGCAGATGCTCAAGCAGCGCGCGGCGGCCGGCCGCCGGCCGCAACCAGCACCGGCGGCGGCTCAGCTTTGACTCACGTGGTTCATATGGTTTAACTTCATTTGATTCTTTGATCAAATCAGGAATTCAGGATTCATTTGCAGGAGAAGAATTCGGATCAGATTTGAGTTTGCTCTTGTGTTTTGTATATAGTATTTGGTTTACATGTGTGCTTGGCTTGTCAAGTTTTGTGCAGATTACTTGCAGTGTTGTTGCTGCAGGAAAATTTCCCTTTTTCAGTTTTGGGCTTGTGTGTATATACGGTACTGTTCTGTTGTATAATTTTGTACACACATTTTACATGTGATTTTGGACATATATAAATTCTTTGATTTATTTATGAATTCATTCATGTTTTACGTAAATTGATCAATATTGTGTAGCATCATATATGTATTATTTTACGGATGGGGATTCTCTGTTACATCCTCTGGTCACTAAGACTGTGTTCTCTCTCCGGCACACAAAACGATGTTCGTATTAATACGTAATTAATTAAGAATTAGCTATTTTTTTAAAAAATAGATCAATATGATTTTTTAAGCAACTTTCGTATATAATTTTTTTTAAAAAAATACACCGTTTAGTAGTTTGAAAAACGTGCACGCAGAAAATGAGAGTAGGGAGTTCGGAACTCCCAGCAAAGAACGCAGCCTAAGTGAAGATTGTGGTATATAGGACACCAACGCAGTGTCCCTAATGTAATTTTTTTTTGCCAATTGTTGAATATTTACAGAACAAAACAAAAATTCGAGAAAAATCTACATGTTCTGTATTTTCTATGTATCCAATCTAATTAGTTAAGAAGACATTGGTATTCAAAGTTTAAAGGTTTGACCACATGTTTACAAACTACTTCAAACGCATTGCCTTTGGTCGGCAACTAAAAAACAACACGGCAAATTCTCAATACATATTATAGCATACTCTACAATTTTTTTTTGAATCTCTATATTAGTCTATTGGTCAAACCAAAAGCTAGTATTTCATTGTTGCACCAAAGCATGTGACTAAATGAAATTCATATGTTCTTTTTTATTTGATGGCTTTTAAATTCGTACTAGGCATTACGGACAGGGCCTCCTCTAATTCAAAGCCCAACACTTGTAATCCGCTCAAGCCCAAAGGGCCCCCAGAAGATTTGCCCCCTCTAGTTGTCTGCTCTATCGCGGGCTCGGCCTTTCGTCGAACAGCTGGTGCGCGTCCTCTCATGTCGAGCACCTGACCGCCGGTCACGTAGCGGCGGCGGCGGCGGCGGCGCGGCAAGATGCTCTCCCGCGCCCGGCGCCTCCACCCCACCCTCCAGCGAATCCTCCGGCCAGTCCCCCCTCCCGCCCATCCTCCTCCTCCTCCTTCCCCACCTCACCGCCCCGTCTTCTCCCAAACCCCTAAACCCTTCTTCCCCTTCCTCCGCCGCCACCTCTCGACCAAACCGCCGCCGCCGCAGGCGCCGCCAGAGAAGTCGCTGGCTCCGGCGAAGGTGAGCTCCGATCCACCTGCCGTCAGCGCGAATGGCCTCTGCCCGGGATGCGGCATCGCGATGCAGTCCTCGGACCCGTCCCTTCCGGGCTTCTTCTCCCTCCCTTCGCCAAAATCCCCCGACTACCGCGCGCGCCTCGCCCCCGTCACCGCCGACGACACCCGCATCTCGGCCTCCCTGAAGTCCGGCCACCTCCGGGAGGGCGAGGCGGCGGCGGCGGCGTCGTCGTCGTCGGCGGCGGTGGGGGTGGGGGTGGAGGTGGAGAAGGAGGGGAAGAAGGAGAACAAGGTGGTCGTGTGCGCGCGCTGCCACTCGCTGCGCCACTACGGCGTCGTCAAGCGGCCCGAGGCCGAGCCGCTGCTCCCGGACTTCGACTTCGTCGCCGCCGTGGGGCCGCGCCTCGCGTCGCCCTCGGGCGCCAGGTCGCTCGTGCTGCTCCTCGCCGACGCGTCGGACTTCGACGGCTCCTTCCCGCGCGCCGTGGCGCGCCTCGTCGCGGCCGCGGGGGAGGCCCACGGGTCCGACTGGAAGCACGGCGCGCCGGCGAACCTCCCGCGCGCGCTGCTCGTGGTCACCAAGCTCGACCTGCTCCCCACGCCGTCCCTGTCCCCCGACGACGTCCACGCGTGGGCGCACTCCCGCGCGCGCGCCGGCGCCGGCGGCGACCTGCGCCTCGCCGGGGTGCACCTCGTCAGCGCGGCGCGCGGGTGGGGCGTGCGCGACCTGCTCGACCACGTTCGCCAGCTCGCTGGGTCGCGTGGCAATGTGTGGGCAGTGGGTGCGAGGAATGTTGGCAAGTCTACACTGCTCAATGCCATTGCCCGGTGCTCCGGGATTGAAGGCGGACCGACCTTGACGGAGGCGCCGGTGCCAGGAACGACCCTTGATGTGATCCAGGTTGATGGCGTTCTTGGATCGCAGGCGAAGCTGTTCGACACACCGGGCTTGCTTCATGGTCACCAGCTGACATCGAGGCTGACTCGCGAGGAGCAGAAGCTGGTTCGAGTGAGCAAGGAGATGCGGCCCAGGACATACAGATTAAAGGTGATATATATTTGCACATCACCCACTCAACCCCAGTCGTGTTTGTGATAATGCGCAATTGACATAGTTGCTGCTCATTTTCTAAATTTCAGCACAAATTTCTTGTTAACGAGTCTAGATTTTCTGTAGTTCTCTGCAACAGAATTGAAGATACTTTGCTTAAGCTAAACTTTTGTTCCCGCATTGAAAGTAGTTCGGTAAATCAATTATTGAGGAAATGCTGTGGAATTGAAACAAGCGAACAGACATTGCATTTACAATGTTCTTGTGACATACTAGTCACATAGGGAAAACTATTATCAACTCCATCAAGTTCCACAAATTGTTGTGAACAATTCTAGCTTGTTCTAGTCCTTTATAACAAAATTGAATCTGCTTTTGGTTAAAAGCTATTATCGATTCGACCAAGTTCCACAAATTGTTGCTTTCCCCCTAAAGACAGTGCAGTAATTTTGTAACTGAACCTGACAAGCACATGATACTGGATTGGACAGAAAATTTGCACCTTTTGCACTTATGAAATTCTAAGTCTTAAACTTGTGACAGTTTCAGTTCTTAGACTTATGACTGGGAATCATGGCTGACTCAATCTAGATGTGATCCTTTGGTTTCCAAACACTCTTCTATTGCCACAGGATTCTTCACTCTTATTATGTGTCATATGAGATGATGCATGCTTATCTAAAACTTGTTGGTAACCTATGCAGCCAGGGCAGTCTGTACATATTGGAGGGCTGGTGCGCCTGGACATCGAAGAGTTAACTGTAGGATCAGTTTATGTAACGGTATGGGCATCACCACTTGTCCCACTTCACATGGGGAAGACGGAAAATGCTGCCGCTATGGTAAAAGACCACTTTGGTTTGCAACTACAGGTATATTTATTACCTGAATGAACTTTATTTTCTCCTAATTCATGTAGTATTGCTTAAGATTATAACACAAAGTTCTACATGGTGTCTTTCCTGCAGCCTCCTATTGGCCAACAACGGGTAAACGAACTAGGTAAATGGGTGAGGAAGCAGTTCAAAGTTTCTGGGAACAGTTGGGATGTGAATTCCAAGGATATTGCAATTGCTGGTCTTGGCTGGTTTGGAATAGGTCTGAAAGGAGAAGCGGTATTAGGACTATGGACATATGATGGTGTCGATGTCGTCTCCAGAAACTCCCTTGTCCATGAGAGGGCAACAATATTTGAGGAAGCCGGGTTCACAGTTTCGAAGATTGTCTCTCAGGCGGATAGCATGGCAAATAGGCTAAAGAACCCTAAGAAAATAAACAAGAAGAAGGATAACAAAGCCAATTCATCTCCCTCCACAGATCCAGAATCTTCAAATCCAGTTGAGGCTGTAGATGCTTAAATGATTTCTATTCCTTTCTAGGACAGGAGTTCCCGAAGGTGAATTAAGTTCTATGATGTTGGCATTTGGTCAGTTGAGGATTGATATACAGAGCCATAGGTTGCACAATTTATACTTGTTCAGACTTAGATAGCATGCTGCTCTCCGCACAAGTCTTTTTTTTTTTCCCTGGGATCATGGATTTTATGTAGTCTTGTTGTGGGCTTGTAACATTAACCTATGGCTTTTATGTACTCAATGAACTTCTACCACTATGGCTTTGGAGTTTGGACCATAAGTACAATTTTGATAGTCAACTTGATGAGGAGTCAGTACTGAAGAATACTCGTTGTAATGCTGTTATGGCTGAACTTCTGAAACCGGCATCTCACAGCTTTGTTATGCCTGCTTTGAACACAGGAATTTTACATTGATTTTATAGGAATACCACAGGAATCAATTGAATCCTCATGGTAAATTCCTGCACTTCAAAGGAGGCCATATCTGACCATCTCCTAAGTTATTTCTGCTTGAAATGAACATGAGCCTCCAGACCGAAACTTTAACCTTACCCTGTTTGGATGTATGAAGTAATCAATCACTCTGCTCTGCATGCTGAAGCTAATATTAGACTTTATGATGTATTGCACAAAAGTAAGTAAAGATGATCTCAAATGCCAGATTTGTTTGGCACATAAAGATGGTGTACTCTTTTCAACCCAAATCATGGGATGCCATCTTTGACATAAAGTACAACCTTTATGGATTAATTTAACGAAAGCATCTATATGACCACTTCATATTAATAAGGTCGGTTGTTAATGGTGTGCTTAACCAGAATTGGGAAAGAGGAAGCATTTTGGTCTAAATGTGTTTTGTTTGCTCATGCATTTTGGTCTATCAGTGCCAAACCATGTATTACTCCATATAACTACCTCTATCTACTTCAATCGAAGGCCAAATCCGACTACCTACAATAAAATGTTTACTAACCCCTGAACTTTGATAATGGTACAAATAATTCCATGATGGTTTTAAAGCAATTTCGCCAAGCTAACTGCACGTGTGACTTCACAATCAGGCAAGTTAAAGTGGCACCCAATAAGACATGGTTAGAAGAGAAATGTAGATGAGCTAAATATATAACTTATTACAAGAGAAGAAAAAATATATATTTCCATTGATATATGCTAACTCTAAATCAAGAGTAGTACAATCATCATTAGACAATATTGCTGTTGCCCCACTACACGCTGCATGCATTGCACTATATATACCAAAGTACCAAACAAAACCAATTACCAAGAAAATCAAAATCAGAATTGAACAAGTTGTGCATACCGAATCTAGTTTAAGTTATTCAGGTTGTCAGGAACATTCAATTACACATAAAACAATTCAATTCATGTTAAAAAAAAAGCACTACTCCCTCCATCCTAAAATATGTGCTCCTTCTAACATTCAAAAGCTAAATTATGAGGTGAGAAAAATGACCCTGGATGTCACTTATTAAATCCCTAGATTATTGGAAGTGGAAGGGTCGTTGGGATAAGACGGGGAGAAATTTGAATAGTGATTGATGTGATAAATAATACAAAGAGCATTCTTTCCGAACAAATTTTGAATCCGAAAGGAGCAATTATTTTGGGATGGAGAATAATTGAATTAATAGTAAATTTCACTTTGAACTATCTTTAATAACAAAGTTTCTCCATGAATTAAGGTTGCTATTTGTTACTGTTTGGACCTGTCTGTGTCCAAAATGTCACCAGACTACCACAATAGTAATGATTTAGCCCAACAAATTTGAGACAATTAGTGGCCGTCCATTATTGCGCTAAAAGTTTGCTTGCCAATAAATGGAAGTTGTCACTTCCAGTAAAAATATACTCCAATAGAAGTTGCATCGACTGTGTCATTAAGCCGACAAAGCAGCCTCTGGGTGGAGGTGGATGCTACTCCTACAAAGATGGATATGTGGCACCCCCTTTTGTTGGTCTTTGGAAGGAGGAACAAGTTCATGTCTCACTAGCTAACTAGCTAGAATGAGTTCCAATTATTGATCATGCATATTGTAATGTGGTCACAACCTATAGCTTAGACTCTACCAACTAAATGCACCATGCTTGAGCGTGGCCAAATATATTTCTCACCAGTCACCCCAGAGGGCCAGAGACCCAAACGTGTGATCGGAATGTCTTTAAGTTAAACTTTTAAAACTTTTAAGTACCAATATATTTTTAAGTACAAATTTGTATTAATTTATCTCAAAAGATAGATTTCATAATGTTTATTAGGTTTTGCAAATGAATTGCAATAGAAGCTAGCCGCAAACGCTAATTAGCGACTAGTCCCACTCTCTTTCCAATTTTTTTCTCTTTTTATTGAATTTTTCTTTTCTTTTGGGCTCCCCCTAAATTTATGGCTCAATCCGAGATAGCTGATTTCTTGTGTATGATTTTTTTTCTATACAAAGTTTCAACACCAGTAGAAAGTTTCTATATGCTAGTACAAAGTTTCCATATTGTATTGAACACGGCCTGTTTGCCTTTTTCATGTGCTGTTCAATTTTTTCTAGATGCTTATGTATATATACAAACTCTGTATATTATGCGTACAAACTTTTTATGTCTAAAATGTATACGTGTACACAAACTTTGTATATTATGCGTGCAAACTTTTTAGGTTTAAAATGTGTATGTACACGTATAATTTTATTTGATATTATATAAAAATACCCCCCCCCCAAAAAAAAAAACCAAGCACGGGGAGACCATAATGGGGTGCACATGAAAATCTTTTTTTACGTCCATGAGTAACATGCATGGCGTGGAGAACAATTAATTCCATTGAAGAAGTGTATCGATTTTTCACTTTTGCTATAAAGTAGTATATGATAAAATCCTTATTTATCATGAAAGTTGACTTCTTATTCTTAACATGAATCATGTTTTGGAAAATAAAAAATTGCGTGAAAAATTCTACAATGACAAATAAGGAACAAAATATATTGAGAAGCGCAGCATGATGGTACCCTGCAATTAATTAATGATGCAAAATTTCATCTCATAGTCGTAGTACGTTCTAGTATTAAAAGATAATAAAGATGAATTTTACATGATTGTATATACCTTGCCCTATTGAACAAATATTTTTCCCACAATAAAAAAGAGAGATAATTTAAATATACTTTTTTTGTGTATTTGAAGCACGGGAGTACCAATCTTTTTGGAACTTAATTGTATATACTCCATCCGTTCCATTTTAAGTGCAACCATAAATTTTCGTGCCTAACTTTGATCGTCCGTCTTATTTAAAATTTTTTTATAATTAGTATTTTTATTGTTATGAGATGATAAAACATGAATAGTACTTTACTCGTGACTTATGTTTTTAAATTTTTCAAAAACTTTTGAAATAAGACGGATAGTAACGCGAAAAAATCATAGTTGCACTTGAAATGGGACGGAGGGAGTATATTAGAAGTGCTCTCCCATGCCGTGGTGCTAGCTAGAGGTAGATCTCTCTTTATCACACCTACCTAGCTTAGCTGCCTTTTATGTCTTCTCTGCCCTGTCATTTTACTGTCAATAATCGAAATCGAAACCAATCACACTCGCGACCGACCGACGCCCTAGCCTAGCCACTGCACGCTGTTTCCAAAAAGAACGGATGAACTTTTTGATAGATCATATCGATCGATCATTAATTGGTCCATCTTTTACGATCTCGATTGATTGATTGATTATTGATGATCTGGTTCGTTGCCAGATGATCATTCATGCATTATGCACGTACGTACATTGGCGGAGCCAGAAATTTTCTAAGCCTAGGGCTTGAGTAAGGCTCAACTAATAAGATATTGGCTTTCTCAAAAACAATACAAGGTGATTTAAAAGGATTTAGGCATGTTTATGGAGGCAAGCCTAGGGCACACCTCTGCGTACGTATGTTCTGAAGTTGAAGACAACTTATGTATGCAAATATTTAATTTATGTATTCTTAATTCTTGCGATGTTTCATTTGTCACTTCTTAAAAATACATTTTCACATGCGCATGGCTATAAAGCCATTATTTCTACCGGCGTTTAATTACCAACCCGCTGATGGCTCCGCTATTTTCTTTGAGGGAACCGTCTATGGAAATAAAATTTTCCCATTTCAAAATATCATATTTCACGTAAAAAAAAAAAACTCCTAACACCCCATATGGGTTATTATATGCCCACGCAGTTGCAAGCCACGAGTCATGCTTCCTGTAGTCTTCAACAATTGAACCCACGACCTCAAGTCTAGCATGATTCTATATTACCATCGCTCTCATACTCACAAATGAATATCAAAACGAATATTTGGACCCAAAATAATTTGAAATAAAAAAAATTCAACTTCAAAGTTGTAGTCTTATCCAGGGCTATAATTTTTATATAAAGTTTGTCCAGCCTTACATTTTTAGATGCGGTTTCTTAAGATAACTGTATGCAAAAAAAACATTTTTTCATGTGATTTTAGACCACAAGACTACTTGTCATTATCACAAGAGAATTTTTCTATTATTCACTTTTAGAAATGAAACCAGCTTCTTTGGAAAAATCGTTTTCTAATAGTGTTTGCAAATACCAATGCAAACACATGTATACATCATGCTCTTTATTAAAGCAGCAGATCGACTTGGACATCCATTAATTAATTATCTATATATCTATTATGCATGCTCTATTAATTCCTTATTGACTAAGTTTTCGATCGCAGCACACGTAGATGAACCAGTTGACAAGCAATAGGAAGGGAAGGGAGATTCGATTTTAGGCGTGTGAAGCTTCGGAATGAGGGAATCTAGCTCGAGCAATTGTTTATATGCACGCATAAGTGTATAAATGTAACTTAAATATATACTTTTTTGTGCCAAAAGTAATTGTTGGTTTTGTCTTCGGATTACCAAGATTTGATCAACAATTTTGTTATAAATAAATTTACCATCGAAGTTGTTTCACAATTAGATTTATATAATCAAAAGTAATTTACAAATATCTAACAATCAAACTAATTCCCTTTGATGTTAGCACTTATATAAAAATATGAAGTTTATCTTCTTTCAGTCAAACTGAGAGGGAGTATCAACTAGCTGAGGACCAATTACTGATGTTTGATGCCAAACTCATGACTAAGTGATGCCGAGATGTCAATGTCCCTTGATTTGATCTGCCTGCATACACACTACTGGTACAGCTTTTGAGAGTGCCAAAGCTCCCCAAAAATGATTTTTGAAGCTGACTGGTAGTAGCAACTACTCGCGCCGTGCATGAATATGCTCTAGGGATTAGAAGAAATAGAATTTTGTGGTGCTAGGCTTATTCTATTTTACTACTTTATAATTAATTGTAACCTCAATTTTTTGTGTGGCTGGCATGATCTTCGAAATTCACAAGCATCACACTAATATGTTTTTCTTTTCTTAAATAATTTCTGATTGTCGAAACATGATTTCGGCAA